TCTTTTGTGTTTCCATACAAATTGTAAATGTTTTTGTTCTAATTCTATGAAAAATGCCATTGGTAATTTGATAGGGATTGCATTGAATCTGCAGATTGTTTTGGGTAGTACAATCATTCTCTCAATACTGATTCTTCCAATCCAAGGATATGGTATATCTCTCTCCATCTGTTTGTATCACCTTTTATTTCTTTCGTAAGTATCTTATAGTTTTCTGAGTACAGGTCTTTTGCCTTTTTAGGTAGGTTTATTCCTCGGGATTTTATTCTTTTTGATGCGATGGTAAATGGGGTTGTTTCCTTGATTTCTCTTTCTCATCTTTCATTGTTAATGTATAGGAGTGCAAGAAATTTCTGTGTATTGATTTTGTATCCTGCAACATTACCAAATTCATTGATGAGCTCTAGTAGTTTTTTCAGTAGCGTCTTTAGGATTTCTACGTATAGTGTCATGTGATCTGCAAACAGAGACAGTTTTACTTCTTTTCCAACTTGGATTTCCTTTATTTCTTTTTCTTCTCTGATTGCCATGGCTAGGACTTCTGAAACTATGTTGATAATGGTGGTGAGTGTGGACATCCTTCTCTTGTTTGTGATCTTAGAGGAAATGCTTTCAGTTTTTCACCACTGAGAATGATTTTTGCTGTGCATTTGTCATATATGGCCTTTACTATCTTGAGGTAGCTTCCCTCTATGCCCACTTTCTGGAGAGTTTTTCTCATAAATTGGTGTTGAATTTTGTCAGAAGGTTTTTCTGCATCTACTGAGATGATCATATGGTTTTTCTTCTTCAGTCTGTTGATGTGGTGTATCACAATGATTGATTTGCGGATATTGAAAAATCCTTGCATCCCTGGGAAAAATCCCACTTGATCACGGTGTATGATCCTTTTAATGTGTTGTTGGATTTGGTTTGCTAGTATTTTGTTGAGGGTTTTTGCGTCTTTGTTCATCAGTGATATTGGCATGGAATATTCTTTTTTTGTGTGATATCTTTGTCTGGTTTGGTATCAGGGTCATTGTGGCCTTGTAGAATGAGCTTTGGAATGTTCCTTCCTCTGCAAGTTTTGGGGATAGTTTCAGAAGGGAAGGTGTTAACTCTTGTCTAAATGTTTGATAGATTTTGCCTATGAAGCCATCTGGTCCTGGGCTTTTGTTTGTTGGAAGATTTTTAATCACAGTTTCAATTTCAGTACTTGTGGTTGGTCTGTTCAGCTTTTTTTATTTCTTCCTGGTTCAGTCTTAGAAGGTTGTACCTTTCCAAGAATTTGTCCATTTCTTCTAGGTTGTCCATATTATTGGCATATAGTTGCTTGTAGCAATCTCTTATGAGATCTCTTATAGTTGCTTGTAGCAATCTCTTATGTGTATTTTTGTGTGCCTGTTGTAACTTCTCCTTCTTCATTTCTAATTTAACCATAAGTTTGTTTTCTACATCTGGAACTATTTCTGTTTTGTAGATAAGTTCACTTGTACCCTTTTTTAAAATTCCACATATAAGCCATATCCTATGATATTTGTCTTTGGCTTACTTCACTCAGAATGACAATGTCTAGGTCAGTCCATGTTGCTGCAATGGCATTATTTTGTTCTTTTTTATGGCTGAGTAATAATATTCCATTGTGTATACATACCACATCTTCTTTATCCATTCCTCTGTTGATGGATGTATAGGTGGCTTCCATGTTCTGGCTATTGTAAATAGTGCTGCAGTGAATATTGGGGTGCATGTCTTTTCGAATTATGGTTTTCTCCAATATATGCCCAGGAGTGGGATTGCTAGTATTTGAGTCCTCTCCTTTTTTTTTTTTTTTTTTTCCGGTACACGGCCTCTCACTGCTGTGGCTTTTCCCGTTGCGGAGCACAGGCTCCGGACGTGCAGGCTCATTGGCCATGGCTCATGGGCCCAGCCGCTCCGCGGCATGTGGGATCTTCCTGGACCAGGGCACGAACCCGCGTCCTCTGCATCGGCAGGCGGACTCTCAACCACTGCGCCACCAGGGAAGGCCCCAGAGTCCTCTCCTTTTTTTTTTCTTGATGAGTCTGGCTAAAGGTTTATGAATTTTGTTTATCTTTTCAAAGAACCAGCTTTTGGTTCCATAGATCTTTCCTATTGTTTTCTTCATCTCTATTTCATTTATTTGTGCTCTGATCTTTATGATTTCTTTCTTTCTACTAACTTTGGGTTTTGTTTGTTCTTCTTTCTCTAGTTGCTTTAGGTGTAAGGAGGATAGGTTGTTTACTTCCAATTTTTCTTGTTTCTTGAGGTAAGGTTGTATTGCTATGAACTTCCCTCTTAGAACTGCTTTTGCTACGTCCCGTAGGTTTTGGATCATCGTGTTTTCCTTGTCCTTTATCTCTAGGTGCTTTTTGATATCCTCTTTGATTTTGTCAGTGATCCATTGATTATTTAGTAACACATTGTTTAGCCTCCATGTGTTTGTGTTTTTAACAGTTTTTTGCCTGTAGTTGATTTCTAATCTCATAGCGTTGTGGTCAGAAAAGATGCTTGATATGATTTCAATTTACTCAAATTTACCAAGGATTGATTTTTGACTCAAGATGTCATCTATCCTGTAGAATGTTCTATGTGCACTTTAGAGGAAAGTGTGTTTTGCTGCTTTTGGTTGGAATGTCCACTAAATATCAATGAAGTCTGTCTGGTCTGATTTGTCATTTAAGGCTTGTGTGTCCTCATTAATTTTCTGTCTGAATGATCTGTCCTTTGGTGTAAATGGGGTGTTAAAGTCCCCCACTAATATTGTGTTACTGTCGATTTCCCCTTTAACGGCTGTTAGCATTTGCCTTATGTATTGAGTTGTTCTTATGTTGGGTTCATATATATTTACAATTGTTTTATCTTCTTCTTGGATTGATCCCTTGATCATTATGTAGTGTCCTTCCTTGTCTCTTGTAACAGTCTTTATTTTAAAGTCTATTTTGTCTGATATGAATATTGCTGCTCCAGCCTTCTTTTGATTTCCATTTGCATGGAATATCTTTTTCCATCCCCTCACTTTCAGTCTCTGTGGGTCACAAGGTCTGATGTGGGTCTCTAATAGATAGCATATACATGGGTCTTGTTTTTGTATCCATTCAGCTGGTCTGTCTCTTGGAGCATTTAATCCATTTACATTTAAGGTAATTATCAATATGTATGTTCCTATTGCCATTTTCTTAATGTTTTGGGTTCGTTTTTCTAGGTCTTCTTTCTCCCTTTCTCTTTTGTTCTCTTTTCTTGTGTTTCCCATCTAGAGAAGTTCCTTTAGCATTTGTTGTAAAGCTGGTCTGGTGGTGCTAAATTCTTTTAACTTGTGCTTGTCTGTAAAGCTTTTGATTTCTCCATTGAATCTGAATGAGAGCCTCGCTGTGTAGAGTATTCTTGGTTGTAGGTTCTTCCCTTTTGATCACTTTAAATATATCATTCCACTCCCTGCTGGCTTGCAGACTTTTTGCTGAAAAGTCAGCTGAGACCCTTACAGGAGTTTTCTTGTTTTTCCCTTGCTGCTTTTAATATTATTTCTTTGTCCAATTTTTGTCATTTGATTTCTATGTGTCTTTGCTTGCTTTTTCTTGGGTTTATCCTGCCTGGGACTCTCTGCACTTCCTGGACTTTGGGGAATATTTTCTTCCCATGTTAGGGAAGTTGCCAGCTATTGTTTCTTCAAATATATTCTCAGTCCCTTTCTCTGTCTTTTCTCCTTCTGGGACCAATAATGCAAATATTGATGCGTTTAATATTGTTCCAGAAGTCTCTTAGGCTGACCTCATTTCTTTTCATTCTTTTTTCTTTATTCTGTTCTGTGGCAGTGATTTCCACCACTGTATCTTCTAGCTCACTTATTCATTCTTTTGCCTCAGTTACTCTGCTATTGATTCCTTCTAGTGTATTATTTATTTCAGTTTTTCTATTGTTCATCTCAGTTTGTTTGTTCTTTAGTTCTTTTATGTCTTTGATAATCATTTCTTGTATCTTCTCAATCTGTTCCTCCATTGTTTTTCCAAGATCTTGGATCACCTTTACTATCATTACTCTGTATTCTTTTTCAGGTAGATTGCCTATTTCAACTTCACTTAGTTGTTCTTCTGTGGTTTTATCTTGTTCCTTCATCTTGGGTATATTCCTCTGCCATCTCATTTTGTCTAACGTTGTGTGATTGCGGTTTCTGTTCCTTAGGCTGCAGGGCCGTAGTTCCTCTTGCTTTTGCTGTCGGCTCCCTGGTGGATGACATTGTCTAAGAGACTTGTGCAGGTTTTCTGGTGGGAGGGACTGTTACCTACCCACTGGTGGGTGGAGCTGGGACTTGTCCTCTGGTGGACAGGGCTGTGTCAGGGGGTGTATTTGTCTGGCAGCTGTTTACTCAGGAAGACTTTACACAGCTTTTCTGCTAATGGTTGGTGCTGTGCTCCTGCCCTGTTGATTGTTTGCCTTGAAGTATCTTAGCACTGGCACCTACAGGCTGTTGGATGGGGCCAGGTCTTGGTGAGAAAATTGTGGCCTCCAAGAGGGCTCATGCCAGTGGATACTCCCCAGAACTGCCACTGCCCATGTCCTTGTCTATGCAGTGAGCCCCAGCTGCCCCCCACCCCCCGCCTCTGCAGGAGACCTCCATTACTAGCAGTTTTTCCCGGCCAAGTATCTTATGATGTCACTACTTTTTTTCCCTGGGTCCTGGTGCACTTGAGACGCTTTGTGTGCCCTGCAACCATTGAGTTGCTGTTTCCCTTAGTCCTGTGAAATTCCTACGATTAAACCCCACTGGCCTTCCAAGTCAGATTCTCTGGGGGCTCCTCCTTCAGTTGCCAGACCCTCAGGCTGCCAAGCCTTATGTTGGGCTCAGAACTTTCACTCCTTTGGGAGAACTTCTGTGGTATAATTTTCCAGTTTGTGGGTTGCCCACCCAGCATGCTTGGGATTTGCTTCTATCGCGATTATGCCCCTCCTACCATCTTGCTGTGGCCTCCTCTCTGACCCTGAATGTATTGTATCTTTTTTGGTAGGTTCCAGCATTTCTTCATCGGTGGTTGTTCAGCATTTAGTTGTGACCCTAGTATTTCCATCAGAAGAGGTAAGCTCATGTCCTTCTACTCCACCATCCTGTCTCGATCCTCAGTCATACTTTCTTGTGTTGTTATTTTATTGGCTGCTTTAGAGATTACAGTATATCAACATGTACAGGCATACCTCATTTTATCACACTTAGTTTTATTGTACTTTACAAATACTGTGTTTTTTACAAATTGAAGTTTTTTGGCAAACCTGCATTGTCAGATGATGGTTAGCATTTTTTAGCAATAAAGTATTTTTAAATTAAGGTACGTATGTACATTTTTTTATACACAGTGCTCTTGCACGCTTGATAGACTATGCTATAGTGTACAGTAAGTCCCCTACATACAAACCTTCAAGTTGCAAACTTTCAAAGATGTGAGTGTGCGTTCCGTTGTTGTCAGGCGTGAGTGAAATTGCAGCTTGCCCTCCATCTCCTGTTGCTGCTGATTTTTCAGCTCTACCCTCTCCCACCTACTCTCCCTCCTCCAGTCAGTAACTTGTTGCCTGTTCACTCGATGCCAGCCCTTGTATGCTAGCTATTGTACTGTACTACTGTACTGTACTTTTCAAGGTACTGGACTGTAAAATTATAAATATTTTCTTTATTTTTTGTGTTTATTTTTTATGTATTATTTTTGTGAAAAGTATTATAAACCTATTACAGTAGAGTACCATAGAGTTGATTGTGTTAGTCAGCTAACTTTATTGGACTTACAAACAAATAGGACTTACGAGTGCACTCTCAGAATGGAACTTGTTCGTGTGTAGGGGACTTACTGTAAACCTAACTTTTGTATGTCCTGGGAAACAAAAAAAATCATGTGACTTGCTTTATTGCCGTAGTCTCCTTATTTCTGGTGGTCTGGAACTGAACCTGTAATATCTCCAAAATATGCCTGTACTTAAGTTGTAACAGCCTACCTCAAATTAATATACTACTTCACTCACAAGGTAAAAACCTTACAGTGGTGTAATACTATTTACTTCCCTCCCATCCTTTGTACTATTTTCTCTTGTATTTTACATCTATACATTATAAACTCCACAATATATTATTTTTGCTTTAAGCAGTTGATTATTTTTGCTTTAAGCAGTTGATCGACTTTAAAAGATTTTGGTACAATAACAGAAAATTCTGTACATTTTTAAATGTACAGATCAGTGTTAAGTACATTTGCATTGTTGTACAGATATTCTCTAGAGCTCTTTTCATCTTGCAATAATGGAACTCTATGCCTATTAAATAACAACTTTCCCATCCCTTTCCCTCAAGTCCCTGGCCACCACCATTCTGCTTTCTGTCTCTATGAATTTGATTGCTTTAAACACCTCATATAAGTGGAATCATAATGGTATTTGTCATTTTGTGACTGGCTTATATCATTTAGTATAATGTTCTCAAGGTTAATCCATGTTGTAGTGTGTGTGAGGATTTCCGTTCTAGGACTGCTGTTTCTGTTTGTTTGTTGTTGTCATAGTAGTTATCCTAGTGGATATGATGTGGTATCTCATTGTGGTTTTGATTTGTATGTCCCTAATGATAAGTGATGTTGAGCCTCTTTTCATGTGCTTATCGGCCATCGGCCATTTGTATATCTTCTTTGAAAAAATGTATATTCAAGTACTTTGCCCATTTTTATTCAGGATGTTTGGTTTTTGTTGTTAAGTTGTCAAAGTTCTTTGTATATTCTGAATATTAACTCTTTATTAGATATATGATTTGCAAATATTTTCTTGGATTCCATATATATTGCCTTTTCAGTCACTTGATTGTGGCCTTTCATGTGCATATGTTTTAAATTTTGATATAATCCAATTTATCTGTTTTTACTTTTGTTACCTGTACTTTTGTATCATACCAAAGAAATTGTTGTCAAATACAATATCATGAAGGTTTCCACTGTGTTTTCTTCTAAAAGAATTATAGTTTTAGCTCTTATGTTTAAGTCTTTGAGCCATTTTGAGCTAATTTTTATATGTAGTGTAAGGTAAGTGTCCAACTTCAGTCTTTTGCTTGTGAATATACATTTTTTCCCAGCACCATTTGTTAAAAGGTCAATTGACTTTTAGAGAATTTAAGAAAAGTAAGAAAGAGCATTTTATATTTACCATATATTTACTATTCTACTACTTTTTATTCTTCCTGTAGGACTGAATTTTAATATAGTATTCCCTGTAGCATTTTTTGTACAGCAGGTCTGTTGACAATGTATTATCTCATTATTCATTTATCAGCAAATATCTATTTCACCTTCATTTTTGAAGGATATTTTCACTGACAATAGAATTTTAGGCTGATATTTTTTTTCTTCATCATTTTAAAGATGTGGTTCTATTGTCTTGTGTAATCTGTAATGAGAAGTCAATCACCATTTTTATCATTGTTACCCTGGATAGACTCCCCCATCCCACCCCCCTCTGGCTACTAAAAATTTTTTTTTCTTTATCTTTGGTTTTAAGCAGTTTGACTGTGATATGCCTAGTTGTGGTTTTATGTTTATGTATTCTGCCTGGGGTTTGCTGTGCATCTTGGATCTATAGGCTTATGTTTTAATCAATTTTGGAAAGTTTGTCCAATATTTTATCAGATATTTTTTCTGCACTTTTCTGTTTCTCCTTTCCCTCTGGGACTCCAATTATAAGCATGCTAGATTGTTTAATTTTGAACATACACATTATTGATGATCTGCTATTTTTTTCATACTTTTTTTCTCTCTGTGCTTCAGTTTAGATTATTTCTATTGAGTTGTCGTCAAGGCCATTGAGCCTTTCTTCTACACTATCCAATCTGCCATTCCATTCAGTGATTTTCTTTAATCATTTCAGATATTTTTCAGTTCTAGTATTTCCATTTGATTTTTATTTTTGGTTTTCCTATATCTACTGGAATTCTTCATGCTTTTACTTATTATATCCTGTTTTTCCAGTACATTCTTTAACATATATCATAACTACGTTAAAATATTTGTCTGTTAATCCCAATATCTGGGTTGTTAGTGAGTCCATTTCTGTTGACTTTTTTCTTTTGATTATGGGTTGTATTTTCCCAAGTTCTCTCTTAGCTTGTGATTTTTTTGATAGTATGTTACCATTGTGGATAATATGTTTAACAACTTGATTATGTTACCTTCCTCTGAAGAGTGTTTTGAATATTGTTCTAGGAGGTGGTTAAATTACTGGTAGAATTTATTGATGCTTGGTTTTAGACTTGGTTCAAATTTATCTATTTCAGTTTTTCTCCTAGCCTTAGGCATGGACCTTACTTTTAAGTTCTGCCCCTTCTGGGGTTTCTAGAAAGTCTGAGGTATTTACCAAGACCCTCTACCTTTAGGGATTCACTTTCCAAACTCTGACTCATCATCACTTGTAAACTGCTGAAATTTCTGCTTAGTTATTTTAGTCTTTTAGCAGTTGCTTTCTTCTAGGTTTCTTGGCTATCACTTTGTACATGCACAGTTCAGGAGTCAGCCAAGCATTTGAGGAGAGGTATTATACAGATTTTGGAGCTACCCTTCCCCCTCACTCAATCCCCGGTGGCTTCCCTTTTTTGGAGACTTCCTCTTTCAACTTCCAGGTGCTCCAGCAGCCTCAAACTCTAACTTCTGATTCCTCAGCCCCCAAAACGGCTGCTTTCTGATTAAGCTCTATTCCACATGTACCATGCAGAGAAGGAAATAATCTTACCAGAAAAATCAGAAAAATGTAGATATTATTTTATTAGCTTCCTTTCTTTCAAGGGTCATATCCCCTTCAGTTTCTACCTGCTATTGATTGCTCCACAGTGCCTTCAAATAGTTGTTTACTTTTAGTCAGAATTTATAATTGTCATTGTCAGGAGAGTTATCTAGTTTAAGATACTTAACTACTTATAAGTGCCAGAAATCATTAAAGCAGTATTTTTAAATGGAAAAACAAAAGTATGGTTTCTAAGAAATTGTTGGTTATTGTATTATATGCAGCTATATTTAGAGAAGTAAAAAGATACCTGCTAGAATGGGGAAAGAATTAGGTAATATTATTTCAAAAATAATTTCTGGTGTTTTAATAAGACTGTGTAAAATTATTGACTGCAGTGGCCATGAAGATGTACTACTTCGACCTCCTGCTGTAGGGAACATAATTGATTGATGGCTGCAGGTACTGCTGTCTTTTAGAACCCATTCCCAAGTTCATGCCAAGGCCATGATTCCTAAGTGATCCTTCTAAGCCATGAGTCCATATGGTGGAGGTTGTAATCCAGGTTCTTTTCTATGAGATATAGGACTCCTTTAATGGAATATTTTTGCAAAGGATTCCCAATTGACTGGGCCAAAACCTTCTTAGAACTGTGTTGCAGTCTGAGATTCTTCCTACCCAGTCTTCCATCCTTCCATTTTTCCATCACAGGTATCCTAAGGCTCTCTTGCCTTCCCTTGCTCCCACTTTGTTGTCTTTCAAAGTTAAGTCTCTTGCATGTTTAATACCATCTTTGCATCTGCTTTTTGGGAGACCCAAATTAATACACAGACCCAAACTATTGATGGAAAATTGACCAAAATTGACTTTTAAAAAAAGAATATTTTTAGAGAAAAATTCCAAATAGCATATGTAGATACTCCCTTCTCTAGGAGGTAGAACTTAATTTCCCTCTGCTTGGATGTAGGCTGGGCTTAGTAACTTGATTCCAGTGAATAGAGAAGAATCTGTTAGTCCTTTTTTTTCTTCTTCTTTTTTATCACCCCGCCCCCATCAAACACACACACAGACACACACATGAGCCTTTTTAGACATTTTTGCTTAACACCCTCCCCCACACTCCTGATGAAATTTTTAATACCACAAATATACTTTATATCTGTTTATGTGTTATATGTATATCCATGTTTTATGCATGAAAAAGTAAATTTTCCCCCCAAGAACTTTTATTCATTTGGGTGTATTATAATAACCTTCACAGAGAATGCATGGGACAGAGTGTGGATAGGGAAAATTTCTAACTTACTCTGGAGGAAGCTGGCAGACACCATCTTAAACAAG